CTGGAATGAGCTGCCCCCAGAGATCAGGGTGATCCCTGATCTCCCTTCCTTCCGCCGCGCCCTTAAGACATGGCTATTCCAACAAGCGGGACTGGCCTAGGGCAATTTTTAGAGGGGTTTTAATCATATTTTAATTAGACGATATTTAAATATTTCTTCTTAATTAATTTTAATTCTGTAATTGTTATTTATGTTTTTTTAAATCGATTGTCAGCCGCCCTGAGTCCGCAAGGAGAAGGGCGGGATATAAATTTAATAAATAATAATAATAATAATAATAATAATAATAATAATAATAATAATAATAATAATAATAATAAATCATGATCATAATCATAAAAGACAATCATTATAAATCATAAGATATAACACTCAGTGATAATCATAGGATACCAAATAAGCAATATAAATCATACTAGGATGCTAAATAAACAGTCAATATAAATTATAAGATACAAGCAACAAAGTTATTGTCGTAAGAAGATAAGGAAATAGGTTATAGGAAAGATGAGACGGATGATAGTAATACAATAGTTAGAGAGTAGGCAAATTCAGCGTTCATTTGAAGGCACCCATCCGCAGCTTAAGCAGGATAATTTTCTCCCAGAGCTCAAACCCATTGAAGATTGCTATTTTTCTAACTCTTTATGGGGAATCTCTGTGTGGAGCAAATGTGTGGGTGATCCTAGCCCTGTCCTTGATCCAGAGAGACGTTCCAAACAGCCTATCCATTGGCTTCATTCTCATAGAGCCTTCTTCAATCCACCATTGCTTTCCCCAGAAGTCCTTAGTATTCTGTGCTCAAAGGTTTCCCTGATTAATTGTAATTAGAAATATACCTGATGATTCTATATGTAATATGCCATACTTTGGTATTTAAGAAAAAGAAATACATAATAGAAAGACAGTACCAAAATTTATGGAAAGTGAGGAAGAATTCATGTGATTTAAAGAATCACCATGTTAGGGTAGAGAAGACATTTCCTGCTCTGTATGGGATCCAACCTCTAGAGCAGCATTTTTCAAACTTGGACATTTTTAAGATGTGTGGACTTCCAATTCCCAGCATGTTGCCTGGGGAATTCTGGGAGTTGAAGTCCAGGCATCTTAAAGTTTGAAAACCACCATCCTAGAGATTTCTCTTAATCTGGGACTGTTAATATGTTTCTGATATCAGAACAATGGCATTTAAAGTGGGCTGAAAAAGAGAATCATTTCAATCCAATATAGCTGTTAGCATTAATTGGGGTCAGATAGGGCAGGTAACAAAAGCACTCTGGTTGAGACAAACTGCTGTTAAACTTATTTTGCTTGTGAGTATTTTGGAAAAGGAATATTTGCCTCCCCAGTTGAATACATTTTTTAAAATTTTGATGTAGCTGAGTGACTCTAATGGTCTGCTTTTGCAGCATGCAGCCCAACATACAAAGAAAGTGGTCCACTATATATTGTTGAGTGCTCCTTGGAGTGTGCTATGTTATTACGCTGAGGACCTCAGGCTGAGAGTTCCCTTGCAGGTAAGAATGTTGTGAAACCTAATACCCCTGGATCAAAATTGGCTGCCAGCTAAAATCATTTTTTTATATTCTGATCTCAAGAAAGAATAGGTTGGGGATTTTAGTTGTTTGTTAGCTGTCTTACATTAGACTGCAGTTGATGGGAAGTTGCTTATTTAAACATTACTTCATAAAAAAGAATGTCTCGATGTGGAAACTACGAGTTTGACAGAAAGGCAGTCCACATCCCTCTTCTGCAGTATCTTCCTTTTGTGAACAGTGATTTTTGTTCATTTAAATGTTTTGTTTTTATTTACTTTTTGTAAACTGTCCAGTATCTTGGGAAGCTTGGCAGTATAATAAAAGTTTCTATCAGTAAGTAAGTAAATAAAGGAAAAAATATGCAAAATTTGTAGGAGCAGATCTGTTTTAACTATGTTACCAAAAAATCAAAAGCAGCCTGGCCAGCATCTTTTCTAATAGATGTTGTTAAAAGGCATAAGATTTCAGGAGCCATGTTTTACACAGCAACTGTATTTGTTTTTGCCCACTTAACAGAAATACTCAACTGATGGAATAAAAACAGTATTCACAAGACTGAACTCCCCACCCAATGAGATCAATAGACAATAGTACAGGCCAATTCCCAAGGGAATTTATTAAAAGACAGACCAGAAAAAGAGAAACTGAAAGCCACTGGTTGACTCCTACAGTTCACTGTTTAAATCACACTAATGCATTATTAATAAACTACAGCTCATACTAGAAAATGACACTGCACTTATTCAGGCATTGAGTGGCAGGCCCCTATTTGCATACAGACAAGCATCCAATCTGAAGAATCTCACAAGCAAAAACAATAGGATAATGCCAACATAGGTACCAGACTCTGCAAAAAAAAAACACCAGCTATCTACCTTGCTCCCACATCTGTATCAACAGCCCCATCATAAGACCCAAATAGTACATACCAGAGATGCCTTCACATGATATTCCTCCAATATAATAGCTACTATCAATTATCAGTACTACCCCTCTAGATTCTATGTAGGACAGGGGTAGTCAACCTTTGCTCTTTTATGACTCATGGACTGCAATTGAAGTCCACGAGTCATAAAAGAGTACTACCCCTCTAGATTCTATGTAGGACAGGGGTAGTCAACCTTGGTTCTTTTATGACTCGTGGACTTCAGTTGAAGTCCATGAGTCATAAAAGAACCAAGGTTGACTACCCCTGATGTAGGACAAGAAGAACAAACTTTACAGAAAATAATTTATTGGATACAAATTTTACAGGATCAAAAGGACATAGTATCAGAGCATTTCATTCATATATATATATATATATATATATATATATATATATATATATATACACACATATATATAGACACATACATATATATAGACACATACATATATATAGACACATACATATATATAGACACACACACACACACACACACACACACACACACAAAATCTTAAATCTTTTAGTGGAAATGTTAGTAAAGATGCTAGCAAACTCTTTCTGATTCTTTGCAAGTCATATTGTGCATTTTTCTCTAGAAGATAGGATAGCATTGACTTACGGCATTCTTCTATTCCAGCTAAGATAGTAACAACTTGTAGAGTATATGAACAGTGGATTCAACAAATAACAATGCAGGGGGAAAACTGTGAAAATTGGAGGAAAAAAGGCATAGAAAGAAACAAGTTGTCTTGTCCTTTTCTCTTCACCCCACCTCTCCCCATTTTTTAATTTTTCCAGTGATAGTTTTTAATCGCTATTTCTTTTGATAAAATGAGAAATGAGCATTCTATTGGAACAAACAGCTCTTCACTAATCTCTAATGTCTATTTTCTGTGATTCGTGCACTGAACATTTTTATGTGTGAGTGTAAAAATAAATTATATATATTTAAAAGATTGAGATGAAGTAAAGGGAACTATATCAGAAACTCTCCCTTCTTTTGTATGTTATGCTTTTGTTCATAAATTTAATAATTTTGATTTCCAATCTCTGTCTCTGTCTCTCTCTGTGTGTGTGTGTGTGTGTGTGTGAGAGAGAGAGAGAGAGAGAGAGAGAGAGAGAAAGAGAAAGAGACTACAGAAAAAAGGCCTCTTGTTTAGTATATTTCTTTTACTGTATCCCAGGCTATGCCCATTGACCCTGAAATCAACTGGTCTCACAGGATTCTGATGAAACTGGGCATCCCTAATTTACTCTATGATGAGGTTCCTGACATTCCCTTGGATAACTACACCTGTCATTTTAAAGCAAACAAGTTACGCTGGTAAGATTTTGGTATGAATTTTCTTTCTTTTATCTTTCCTCTTTTTAAACTATACTGATTTTTCCAAGCTTACAGTTATTATCCCCTATTTCATTATAATTAGATTACAATAGTAACATTGCCTAACTGTAATATCCCAATATTTGCTCTTTTCTCAAAAGGAAGTCATGCTGAGCATCAGTCTAGTTATATAAAGAAAAATCAATCTGTCTTTTGCACATTTCATGCTTCATCGTTTTTCGGAGCTCGGCAGCATTTTGCAAAGACTAAAGATGTTTCAGATACATCACTGCAAAATCTCCACAATTTGTACAGTGATGTTTAATATTATAGTGCTTTTTAATAATAATAAATAATTTTGGATGATTTCTATTATATACAGTGATCTTAACATATTATACATACAATTCTATATGTAACTTTTTACCTTTTCATAAATGTATCTCCCCCTTGCATCCTGATTTATATAGGTATTCATGACCACAAGCTTATTATTCTTGAACAGCTTCATTACTTTTACTTCTCTGACTTGCTTTTAACCTAGAGGGGAGAAGGGAAATAAAGAAAATTGATTCTTGGCTGCTTGGAATTCTAGCACTTTTGCACTTTTCCCAACTGACATCTGGCTTGTTCCTTCCAAATGCTGCCTCAGCCAGTCTGTCCTGTAGATCACAGCTTCTAATTATACAGGATTCTTAGCTGCTGATTCCTCCTCCAAAGTGCCTGGATTCCACCAGTCCATGTAGTTCAAAAGAACATTAACAATGTGCAATAATCTCTTCCATTGTCTAAAACAAAAGCCCTTTTTACATGATTTCACCAAAGGCAGATGTGCCTGCTCTTAGTGTGTTCATTAGGCAGGAGACTTCCAAATGTCTACATGGATGTCTACACTTTGCATGGATGGGGTAAATAAACATAGTCCCTTACCCTTGAGATTAGGCAGCAACAATAAATGTTGCAGAGAAGAAGACAAGAAGCAATGGATGGGAACTAATCAAGGAGAGAACCAACCTAGAACTAAGGAGAAATTTCCTGATAGAACAATTAATCAGTGGAACAACTTGCCTCCAAAAGTTGTGGATGCTCCAACACTGGAGGTTTTAAAGAAGAGATTGGACAACCATTTGTCTGATATGGTATAGGATTTCCTACCTGAACAGGGGGTTGGACTAGAAGACCTCCAAGGTCCCTTCCAACTCTGTTATTCTGCTTCATGCATGTCTGTCCCACCAACAGTATAGTAATACCCAGTACTCTTGAAAGCTTTCTTGACATAGTAGAGAATTATAAAATTTTCCTAGAATTCTCCCTGCTGTGTATATTGGCTTCCAGAATTCAGCACTTTCCTACCTGTGCCAGAAATAGCCAAGCAACATCTATAGCAGCCTGATTAGCACATTACACTAAATATGGTTTGTTTGCTTGTCACTTAGCATGAGGTACAAGCCTATCCCAAGAAAGCTTTTTATTTTTCACACTTAACTGTATTGTAGATCCACAGCTTAGAGGTTTATGAAATTAGCATGATTTAACCATCATATTGTTTTCTGAACCAATCAAGAGCCATGCATTTTCCTAGTTTATTTCTGTTGTCAGCTAAAAAATGTAGACATGATGATAATATGGGCAAAGAACTTTGGATATAATATAGAATTAGAAGACTGGCAAAAGTTATGGGAAAGAAATGTTAAATTAATTAAAGCAGTGGCATATAAAGAAAACATATATAAAATGTTTTATAGGTGACATATGACACCAGTGAGATTAGCAAAAATGTTTAAAAATACTTCAAATAAGTGTTGGAAATGCAACCAAAGACCAGGTACTTACTATCATATCTGGTGGACATGCCCTAAAGCAAAAAGATTTTGGGTAAAAATACATTTATGGTTGGAGAAAATGACTAAAAAACAAATAGACTTTAAGTCAGAATTATTTTTGTCAGGAATAATAGGAGCAAATTATGAGAAAGATTGTATATATTTAATTCTACACGTATTAACTGCAGCAAGAATTGGAAAAATGAAAATTTACCAACTGAAGAAGTATTAATTAAGAAAATTTTAGAATGTGCAGAAATGGACATATTGACTTTAAAGATAAAAGAGAAAGAAGACTCAGTGTATTTTAGAATATGGGATAATTTCTATCAATGGCTAGAAACATGAGTTAAAGAGAAAGGAATGTGATATGTAACTTTGAATATATATTAAGAAGAAGAAGACTATTGAGCGATTAATTAACATATTGTTTATGATAATTAACTATTATCTATTTTTTTGTTAAACACATGAACCCAGACATTATGCTGTTTGCTAAATATTGAGAATGTTATTTGGAAAGACCCTAACCCCAACCCCAACCCTAATCCTAACCCTAACCCAAATCCCAACTCCAATCCCGATCCCACCTCATTCCTAACCCTATAAAAACTAATAAAATTTATACAAAAAAATGAGGACATTGGAAGAAAAAATGGAGAGGAAACAGGGTATTATATTCATCAATAAGACTAGAATCATACTTTGTAGCAGGCAATAAGGCAATATGTTTTGAACAGCAACATGTGAAAAATTTATAATTGCACATAGCTTTATAGTTTAACATTATGTGTAGTGCCATTAACCATAGTTAAGGCAAATATGGCTTCATGCTAGGTGTTATCACAATCTCTCTTTTATATAGCTTCTTTTTTATGTCTGGTAATTTATCAGTGGTTTTTTTTCTCCCAGGTTCCGTGGGAGTGATGACCATGAGACCTTCTTCAGTAGTACACAACGGCATAGAATAGTAAGCCCGGAGTGAAACAAATGCAGGGTAACATGTGTATATATGTGTAGCTAATCATAGTGCTGTATGTTAATGTTAAGAAGTATAATTAAGGGCTACTATTGGAGCTCTGTCTTCAGACTTTAAAATGTGTAATGTGTGTGATGTTGCTTTAACTGTGGAAATCAAAGTATGGCTTCCTTTAACTCTTCTTTGCTTTTCTTCAGCTGTATGAGATCCTGTCTACTATATCATATGGCAATCCAAAGGCAGGGCAGGTTGGAATAGAAAGGCTGCTGAATGAGGAAGTCTTCACAGCTGCATTTCCACTACATGACGTAAGTTTGCAAGCATCGTTCCCAGTCCTCTCTCAGATAGGAACTCCTTAACCAAATTGACAGCACTTGTATTGAAAGTATCTTTTGAGAAATCTGAAGTAACTTGCCATCTAGTTAGTTTCCAGACTAACATAATAGTTTAAATGTTAGTGATTTGGGACAGTTTTATATCTTCAGTTTAATGAGACAAAGCCAGTGAGCGTTGAAGAGTAATGGTAGATCTTTTGCACTGGGAGTATCACACATTCAGAAAATGACTAATTTGATTCTGCTGGTATGTCATACCTCACCCCCTAATAAAAGAGAAACAATTCTCTATCTCCCCCCCCCACCCCCCAATCTAGGCCACACTCAGCAGCAACACCAAGGCTGGGCCTGAAGTAGAGACTAGGACCTAGGCCCTTACTTCAGCTCTAGCACTACTATTGCCACTCCAAAAGGCTGCCTTGCACTATTCCCTAATGTGCATGAGCCTTGGGGAGTGGCGCAATTGCCCCACGGCCTGCCATTCCCCAGGATCTCCCATGTACTGCTTACCTTCAGGCAGGGTTCTCTTTCTATTGACAGGCCCCTGTGGCCTATCCAAGGCTGCTCTACATCCCACAAGGCCTTTGTCCTTGAAGCAACTTCAGAGAAACTTCTGTGGCCTCTGCAGCCTCTGAACACCGTACAAAAGCACACTGTTTTTGCATGATATTTGGAGGGTCTGGGGCCACGTGAGTTCTGGAGGGTGTGGAGGCAGCACAAAAGCACATCCCACTCTAGCACAACCTTTGCAGCTTCCAAAAATTGCACAAAAGCATGCCTCACTCTCACACAATTTTTGGAGGCTCCAGAGGCCACGTGGCTGGCTGTGGCAGAACAGACCCTCAGCCTTCGAAAATTGGGCAAGAATGGGGTGTGCTTTTGAGAATAGTTGTCAGGTTTTGGTGAATGTTGACATGTCACCCAAAACATCTTGTTGTGTCATCTTTGTTAAAAAAAAGTTACAAGTAAAAGTTTAAGAAGTATAATGTATGTATTCCTAAGTATTATATCTAATTATGATTATAGTTTTAATAAGTAATGGCTGTCAGTACTAATTATTGCATTTTATAAAGTATTTACACTGTGTAAGAGAGTTCATGTAAAATGCAACATACACTATACAGATTTGTATCTTATGTGGATAATATCATTCTCTGCCAAAGGGCCCATACAAGATGTCATCAGAAGAAGAACCCACTAGTCTACTTAATCAGAGGCAGATTCTTTTCCATTATTGGGCCAAGTGGAGTAAATGGAAAAAATACCAGCCTTTGAATCATATCCGCAGGTACTTTGGAGAGAAAATTGCTCTCTACTTTGCCTGGCTTGGTGAGTACATACTCTTTCAATGGATCCACAGCTTCCTGACTTTTGAAATTATGTAGATGCTCTGCTTCTTTTCCCCCTGTGAATAAAGTTATCTTTAAATGTGTTTACTTGCTCCACCGGCAGAGTTATTATATATTTGTTTGTTTAATTTATTTGTCACCCATCTCACCGTGGTGCTATTTCTCTTTCATTTTTTCTATACTAGTGCTAGGAACCAGTCTGGTTGTCAGAAACTTGTTCACTAACTTGCTATTAACAACCAGCCCCCGAGTTGTAACATCCTGTGATCTGTTATTTGGTTTTTGCTGTTTTGCAAAATATCACAAACTGGATTTAGATTTTCTGGAGAGCAAGCTGATAGTTCTCAATCACGGTGGGTGGGGCAGCATGGGTTCTGCTGAGTATGAATATGCCGTTGCCTTTCTTCCTTTAGGTTTCTACACAGCATGGCTTCTTCCAGCAGCTGTAGTGGGGACACTAGTCTTCATAATTGGCATTTTTCTGATGTTTCATGACATTCCAACGTAAGTGGTAAACTTTCCTTTTTTTATCCTGTTTTTAGCAGGTGTTCAGACAACTTATATAGCAGCCTTTTCCATCAAGCAGCATGACTGACTAATCAGTCATCCTTTGCTTAAATATGTTCCTCAATGTGTAAATGACAGACCTATAGATTTCTAACATTTCACCTCCAAGATTTCCAATAGCACATTAGAGTCAGAGAATGATTAAACAAAACAAAACAAAACTCCAACCCCTAAAAAAATGAAACCCAGCAAGCAAAACCAATAGAAAAGTTGTGGGGGAGGGAATCTGGTACCATGTTAATTATGTTTTGCCACTTTTCTTTTCTCTCCTTCTGAACTAGACAGGAGATCTGTTCCAGTGGTGACAAATATAAGATGTGCCCACTTTGCAAAGTCTGCCCTTATTGGAATCTATCTTCTGTCTGCCCCATGTTTCAGGTGAGGTTATAAATCAACAAATTTATAATCAACTTCACATATTTCTTATTGACTTGACGAAGAACAAAAACCTGGTTTACAGAACTCTCTCTGGGATAAAACCACTTTGCAATTCCCATACTTTGATCACTGACATCTATTTACCTTTCAGTCAGAACTCTGCCATACTTATGAAACTAATTCACCTGTCGTTTTTGTATTCACTCTTGCTGCGTTTCTTTTTGTAAGTGAGACCAGTTATCCCACTATCTTATTCAGGCAGAAATACAATCTTTACAAGTTCTTTAAAGTTGCATAGCCACTCTGTAAACAAACCTGTATGTCTTTCCCTCTTCATCTTCTTATTGAGAACTCACAAGAACTTTGTTAAGGTGAGGTTGTTGAAACAGCCTTTCCTCAGTTGGTTTCTTTCTAATATGTTGCTTGAAATTAAGTTAAGCTATATTCTTGTGGCTCAATCTTTTTTCCCCCCAGTCTCCCTTCTTTGAATGATTGGTCATTGGTAGTTGTTTATAAAGTTAATAGTTTGCGGTATGTAAAGTTTATGCTTTTAGCTATCTCTTCCAAAACAATATGATATATGTTCCATCTATTTAGCAATTCTAATATATGCATATGTTGCGACACTGGCAACTTGCAAGCTATTTTTGTTGCAAAGGCAATTTAGCTTACTTGTAGTTTTAGAGGCTAAGCTTCAAACAGCTATAGGCCCATTTCTGTAACCCATGCTCAGTGAGTATGTATGAAATAAAGAATTGAAGGAATACAGGTATGTGGTAGTTAGCAAGAGACTAAGTAGATTCAATTAACTATGCCATAATGTGGTGCTTTGTTTTGGACTTTTAACATTATTTATTTATTATAAGATTTCTATGCCACCCATGTCGCCAAGATGACTTGCCATACTGTGTAAGCATTGTACAACAGGTTTAATTACTTGGTGTATTGAACACAGCTATTCAGCAAGCTTTGGGTTATAACAATGTGTTGACAAAACGCGGGAATCCGGCCATGGCTCTGCTCACTTGACTCAGTCCTCTTCCCTATCTGGGTATCTTGCCACATGCCTAAGAGCAATTCCTCCCTTTTTCCTCCAGGCTGGCCGTCTCTTTGATCATGGTGGCACTGTTTTCTTCAGCATCTTCATGTCTCTGTGGGCAGTCACATTTCTTGAGTATTGGAAGCGAATGAATGCTACCCTGACATACCGCTGGGACTGTTCAGATTTTGAGGATATTGAGGTACTGAATTTAGAGGCCTTCTAATGTAATTTAAAATCCAAACTGGCATAAAATATTCATATTCCTCCTGTTATAGGAACGTCCACGACCCCAGTTTGCTGCTTTGGCTCCCATGACAATTGTAAACCCAATTACTGGAGAGGAGGAGCCCTATTTCCCAAAGCGGACTCGATTCAACAGAATCATCACTGGATCAATGGTCATCATCATTATGGTGAGGGAGGTCAGAAACCCCAAGTAGACTAAGATATGAGCTGTTTCTTCTGCTATGCCAATTGAATCATAATTTATTTTGCAAAGCAATCTTCTTTTAGGCAAGGCACCTATGCAGCTTGTGGGGGCAACCTTTATTTAAAAAAATGTATGTAAAAGAATTAATATAAACCATAAATATCTAGCAGATGTCCCTATTCTCTTGAACTACTGTAGTCAAAGGGAGTATCTGAGGCATGATCAGAGAACGTGTGCTATTAGCCTAATGCCCCCCCCTTGATTTTCATGCATTTTATAAGAGCATTGAAGGAAATGGAATAATCCAACTGCTATTCTTCTAAATGACCTCCTAGAGCAGGCATGTCAAACTCGCGACGTCACGTGATGTCGCATGACATATCACGACTTTTTCCCCATTGCTGGGGAATGTATGATGCATCTGGCCCGTGGGCCAGCAGTTTGAAATGCCTGTCCTAGAGTATTCATCAAGCTTTGATTCTACTGAAGTGATAAAAACCTATTTGGCTATATTTAGTCTGGATTATTTCTTCTGTTAGAAAGTTTACCATCTGTTATTTACAGTTTTTCTATTTGCTATTAATAACTTCCATTAATTATGGTTATGAAAATATATGGACAAGTGAACAATTTCACTTTCCCAATATTTAGCAAAAATTATTTAGCGATTTGACTGGTTTGGACTAAGCAAAGGTACAAACATGGTTTAAAGCATAAAGTTACTTGTGAATCCAACCACTATGGTTTATTTAAAAATCCATAGTTAAAATTAACTTTGGCTTAGAGAATGTAAGTACCATAATGATACATAATGATACATAATGCCAAGCCATGTTAACCATGGTTTATTGAATAAACGACAGTGGCTTGATTTACATATAATGGAAGCCATATGTGTGTTTGCAATTACACTAAGCTAAATACAAATCTGTTATGGCTTAATATGTGTTCACATCTTGGATCTACATAGAGAGATGAATTACTTATGTAGAGGAAACATATATGGATATTAAGGAAGATCAGCATTTTTTGTTCCAAATTCAAATCTAACCTTCCCCAACTCAGCATTCCTCCATCTATCACACCATATTTTATCATTATTATTATTATTATTATTATTATTATTATTATTATTATTATTATTATTATTATTATTTTCAGCACATATGAAGAATAGTAGATTGGGGCAACTTAATCCAACTGGCCACAGCCATGGTGACTAATTATTTGCAATAATGAGACAACAAATGCACATTATTAGTTCTTCTTCTGCTTGTCTACAGATTGCTGTGGTAATAATATTCCTGATTTCCATTATCCTTTACCGGGCCATCATTTCAGTAATTGTATCCAGGTCTGGGAACTTCCTACTTGTATCTTCGGTAAGGAACTGTATGCCTCTATCCCAGGGGAGGCAACCCTGGCTCTTTTATGACTCGTGGACTTCAACTCCCAGAGGAATTCTGGGAGTTGAAGTCCACGAGTCATAAAAGAGCCAAGGTTGCCTACCCCTGCTCTATCCCTTTGAGTCTGGCTTTTGCTATTGGACTTCATTTGCATTTTTAACTCCTTTTTTCCTCCTAGGCTTCTCGTATTGCCAGCCTGACAGGCTCAGTGGTGAATCTCTTTTTCATCCTCCTCCTCTCGAAAATTTACATTGCGCTGGCACTTTTTCTTACAAAGTGGGGTAAGTAAATTCTATTGGTTTGGACATCAAGCAAAACATCACTTCCAGCCCTATCTTTTAGCTCCTTGATAGAACATAGAACTAGGTTTTGTTTATAGAAATAAGGTGGCTAAGGAGATGTAATGAAAACGAGGGCATCTTGAATCCTGTATTAAATGCATTTATCAACAACAACTTTAAAGCAAAAATAAAATGTCTACAATGCAGTAAATTTCCAGTTTGAAAAAATTAAAGAATTGTAGCATATTTCAAAGAATTACACTGTCATTTATTCAGTAGCATCAGGATTATTCAATAAATTGTTAGAAATTTATACCCAATTTCTGGACACTCCAAAACATTTGGAGTTTGGCTAGTGGTGGCCAAGCAGGGAAAGTTTACAATTTTTTTACATCATCTATCTCCCCTAATCTGTTTCTTGGAATGTTGGCAAAATGAGCCAATATGGCACCAAATCGAACTGCAAAATTCAAGATTAATTCTAGATATTAATCCAAAGGTGCTTTTTCAAGAGGCAACTGGACTTTCTTGTTTTTCTTTGAAGACGTTTCGCTTCTCATCCAAGAAGCTTCCTTAGCTCTGACTGGATGGTGGGGAATGAAAGGATTTATATTCCCTGCAGACAGCCGGTCATTTGCATTCTTTTAGAGAGTCACTGAGCTGAAGAAGCTTCTTGGATGAGAAGCAAAATGTCTTCAAAGAAAAACAAGAAAGTCCAGTTGCCTCTTGAAAAAGCACTTTTGGGACAACCATGACCTGGATGACTGATAGACATCTAGATATTACCCTCTAATCATATGGATTCTTGCAGCCTAGATTTGATAGTTCTTATGTTACAAAGTATAATTTGTGACAAAACATTTTTCTCTGGGTGCTGAATTCTTAAAAAATGTCATCTCCACGCTAAATTCTTAACTGCATTATATATGACATACATTTTGCACGTATAATCATTGTAGCAGATATTTTGTCCTTGCCCAGAACTAATGCTGTCCAACCCCTCATACATAGTTGCTTCATCTGGAAACTTTAAATTAGAATCCTTAATATCAAAAACATTCACTTGAGTATAGGTATATCTTGAAAGATATCTGCATTCAACTTGCATAAATCAAGGGAATGTCCCACCCTTTCCCCCAATAGGTCAGACTTAAGGTTTAAAGAAAATGTAAAAAACAACTTTAACCAGAACTTATTCCAACTTGCTTTGCCAACTGAGCCATAATATATAATAACATGGAAATATTTTCAATGCACAATTTATCTGTACATTCAGTGATATGAAGACACATAAGAATAGGTGACAAAAGTAAGGAATCATTCAGAGAAACTTGAAGGATAAACACTATTCTTTTCTGCCACAGAAATGCATCGCACCCAGACCACATTTGAAGATGCCTTCACTTTTAAAGTCTTTATCTTTGAATTCATCAATTTCTATTCATCTCCCATCTACATTGCCTTCTTTAAGGGCAGGTAAATCTATTTATTTATTATATTTTATTTCTATAGCCACCCCTCTCAAACAAGTCACTGGTGGCAAACAATCATAAAAATCCATTAAAACGAAATACAAGATAGATAGAAAGATGATATAGATATCTAGATGAATTGGATTACAATACCCATAATCCCAGGTAGCACATGAGAGTTAGATTTATAGGTGCTGTAGGTTCAATACATCATGGTAAGGTTATGTTCAGAAAGACTGTAGAATAACTATTAATATGATGCAGAAAGGGAAGGAAGTTTTATTTAAGTTCAAAAGATTATGTTTGGTAGGTATTTTTCCAGAGCATGAAGATATGCAATAATTTAGAGAAATTATATGGCTGCTTACTCACTCTCAGTGACTCTGGGCAGCTTACAAAAATGTAAATTTATTGCATATCTTTCATATATTGGAAATAACCAGAATTATATGTGCTTGTGTACAGTACGCTGTATTTATAACTCATACTAATCCTGACACAATCAGTCTTGGATACAACAGACTTTTTAACACATATATATCTATACCTACACCTACACACATACACGTATATGTGTGTATGTGTGTGTGAGTTACCAGTAAAAAATCTTAAACAAAACACAAATACTGTACATCAGAGGCGCCATTAAATTAGCCTAGCCAAACATCTGATGAAATAATGCTGTTTTGATCTTTTCAAAATACAGTGAAAGGGTATTTTACCCTGGAGAGGGGAGGAGAGTGTTTCATTAAATGGGGACCACCACTGAAAAGGCTTGTCATGTGGTTTAAGTTCCATGAAGCTGATCAGAAGGGGGACACACAACAGATTCTCTCTAAATAACCAGATTATGCATATATATTCAATTTTGGCAACATGTTGCCTGATATATCTTGATATTGCACTGTAATGTGCCCTAAAGGTAATAATTCTAAGCCAAACCAAAGAGAAAATGCACTTGTCTCCTCTGCGGCATTCTTATTCCTGCCAGCCAGTTGATCATTTGGAGCACATCCTACACAGAATACTGGACCATTGAGAGTTTTTCAGAACCTACTGATAGTGCAAGCACAATCTCTATAAGTGTCTGAAAAAGTAGATTTGGTCTTGTCCCAGAGCTTGCTGCTTGAGTGAAAACTGGAGGTTTTATTAACCTGGGAGGATAATTTCAAAAAAGTTCTTAAATATGTCATAACAGTAATTCAACAGGATTCTTCATAATAGCGATAGAAAGATGGGGAAAAGTGAAGAATGTCTGCCATCTATTGTTCAGAAACAGTATAATAATGTAAATCTTAAATGGGTGTTACAGGGTAGGGTGCATCTAACAAATATATTAGCATCTGGAATCAACAAATGAATAATTAAACCCAATAGATCTGAATCACTACAGGAGTCCAAGCTGTGAATGGTGATGCCTTTGGCCCTAGTTGAACATTACATTCAATCAAGCAGCAGTAAACCAATTTGTGTGTCTGAGTGACTTTAAGCCAGTGTAGATACCTGGTAACTACCAGAACCCGTCTCTGCCATTTTCTTGGCGAGATTTCAACACTGGCTTGTCATTGCCTTCTTCCTAGGCCTAAAAGAGAGTTACTGGCCCAAGGTCACCCAGTAGCTCCATGCCTAAGGCAGGAATAGAATTCAGTCTCCCAGTTTCTAGTTTTGTGCCTTCATCACTACACTAAAATGGCTCTTAATAGTCTTTAAAAATAATTGCTTGGAGGGAGGCGGTAGGAATAGAAATTTAAACTAGCAGTTTAAAAAAAAGCCAGAGACACATTTTTCATTTCTTGCCCTTGTGCTTTTCCTTCTTCCCTTTCAGGTTTGTTGGTTATCCAGGCCACTATGACAAATTATTGGGCATACGCAATGAGGATGTAAGTATTCCAGAAGAGATGGAAAAAAATGGTTCTTGAATGAAAAAATGTGGAGGAATCCTTAGAGCAGCAAATTCCTAGGCAAGCCATGCAAAGTAGATTGAATTGCAAGGTGATCCCAACCGGTCCAGAGATAAATAGACTGTGTTAGCCTCACACCAAGGAGTGGAATAGGTATCTTTTTTAGAGCTTAAAGAAACGCTCTGTCTATATCCACAACATATTTGTAAACATATTAGAAGAGTCCACAACGTTCTGGGTTTCACCAGATGCATTTGAGAAGTTTACATGGATAAGAGGGAGATAGTTCAGTTGCCTTTGAATGCTGCCTGCATATAGCCATAACAAATGGGCTGGTGAGTCACTGAATCTGATCGGCATGAATTTCATTAGTTATGTATTGTGTAAAATACTTATTTTTTTTCCAGCCTGACTCTTTTTGCTGGGTCAGGAATGGTTTACATATCTCTACCATATTTTGCCTTCATTTTAAGCAAAAATCTCAAAGTATGTTTTCCTCTATCATTTTAATTGCCTTTTTATGGGCCTTACAGTCCTATGATGACCTGAACTGTATATAGCTTTCTAAGTATGAATTCATCATAGATTTACCTATATATCAAAGAACCTTACTATAATAGTATATTCATCGTTAGTTCTCTTCTTAATGACTCTTCATTTATTTGTTTATAAAATTTATGAGACATCTCCCTTTTCTTTGTAATTATTCCATTATGGTAGTATGTGGTATTTCCTGAGGAAATGAGAGGACTGAGTCTAGTTCTCAACAAAAATGAAGAAGTTATAACCTTGGGACCCCACAAATAGGAATTTCATGGCTGAATGCTGCTCAATCACAAATAGTCTCCTTATGTAGAAAGGTGGATCTTGAGGAAAAGTATTCAGGCTTTCTGGCTTTGGTCAAGTTTTTCTTCCTGGTAGATATATTGCATTAATGAGGCCTTTATTCAACACCTCCAATAATGTTGCATGATGCTTCAGTACATGAATGATTGATAATAGATGCCTACTGCATGCTACATATGAAACTTTAAAGATTTCTACATAGGTATTCAGTGTTCATTAGGTAACCAGCCATATCCAAAAGTCTCTCTCTGTTTTGTCCAGTGTGCTCCAGGTGGCTGCCTCATTGAACTTGCTCAGGAACTTCTTGTCATCATGGTAGGAAAGCAAATAATTAACAACATTCAAGAAATCCTTATCCCGTGAGTGCTATGCTTTGATTTGATACTTTTGCTATCTATTCATTCCAATCAATGTGCTTGGACAAAACAGGGGTGGGCAAACTGGGGCTGCAATGGAGGCTACAGCTTTGCAATATATTGGTGCTGCATCATTGTGCAAGAGAAGGGATTTCATTTCTATTTTTTTTTTTAAAAAAACCAACAACTTCCAGTTCCTTCCATATGTAATCATGGGCCTTAAAGATTCCTGGGAAGCTGAAACAATTAATGACTGTCTCATCTCCTGCTCCGTATGAAACATTGCAAAGATAGTTTTGCCAACATTTCCTTAGAACTATAGAACAGGCATAGATGAAAAGAATTTTTGCCTCATCCTTCTTCCCATTCTGGGGATTTTTCATTCATTTCTATAGTGAAAGCATACTTGTACATTTGTTGTCCATATCCAGTTGTTCTGAGAGAAGGCTTTGGCAGTTCATTTCCATAGAGTAGGAGTAGGTGCTCTTTTTTTTTAACCCATTCTAAAAAAACAAACCCAGCAAGAGAAGAATGAGAACAGATTTGCCATTTTTTGTAGCTGCTAGGCTTGATCAAAGGAGGACTATAATATTAAGAAAACTTGTCTGAAAACTTGTGTGGAAATGCTCTCTCTTAAGGCTGTTTTAGACTTAGTTTATAATTTTTATATTATCTTTTGCCTTAAAATGTCAAGAAACTCCACCCTTGATTTTTGGCAATCAAGCTACTGAATTTCGGAAATGAAGCTGGAGAAGAATGCGGGAGATACAAAAAGAGGCTTGGCAACTGCCTGAAGTCACAACCCTGTAAAATCTAGCAATTTTTTTTTGTAAGAAATGCAAGTGTGGGAAAAGAGAAGCCACTCCCTAGTTTCTTTGGCAATTACAATTGTTTCACAAAATAATGTTTTGCATTTTTGCCAAGACATAATTATTTTTGAATATGTGCCTACAGCAGAGTTGTGCAAAATATTTTGCTCTTAGAAAACTTTTGGAATTGTCAGAATAGCATCAGAATAGATCCCTGTTTTATAGACAGATTTTGACTTTCTTAACAGTCAGGCTGCTATGCAATAAATTTCTCCTTACCTGACCATTAGAGTTCCAATGCACGTTGCTCCCTTTTGCACTTTTGTTGCATAATGTCTCATTTCTAATTGAGATAGTAGTAAGAGCCTGAAGAAGTGACTCAAATTGCCCCTCAGAGCTATCTGATAGAGAATAGAGATAGATTGCGTTTACCAAATATGTTATTCAACAGTGTTCCAAGGTCTTTTTTCTCTCTCATGGATCTCCAAGTACAATTCATTGCTTTATTGAAAATGTTGAGACCCAGCAATAAAAAGTTAACATCTGTTTTGGGTACCAACTAGCTTTAAGTCTAGTATATCTGCTGATTTATCTGATGAAGATGAATGAGGATTCTGTCTGGGAAAAATGTACCTATCCATACAGGCCCTTGACATTGTTAAACATCACATTCAGCTTTTGTCAGTATTTTAGATGGCATTCCTCCCAACACTCTACGTTTTGGATGTACCTCTTTCTGATCCAAGCACTTCTGTTGTCATTTTAGTATTGCCAGCAGGTTGCAGCCATTCCAGCATTAACTGAAGGATTGTTCCTTTTGCATCAATTCCAGTGATGTTACATTTCTTCTGTTCTATTGAGCTGTACCTATTCCTTGTAACTGTGTGGATAAAAGCTATCCTGTCTCTTCAGTGGTGGGTTTCAAATACCTGAACAAATGGTTCTCTGCGTGGATGCAGGCCTAGAACGGACTTCCGGAAGTGGCATCCACACACTTCTGGTGGGTCGTTCTAGGCCTGGAGGCCGCCTCCAGCCGGTTCTCTGAACTGAAAAAAATTTAGCCACCAGTTCTGCCGAACCGGTGCGAACCGGCTGAATCCCACCATTGTGTCTCTTGCCACATTATACAATTCTTGCATCATGGGTGTATTCCTTTAGCCTCCAGTATTCTGTCTAGCCAACTCATGCACTCTTGGACTCTTCTTTTTCAATTCACTTTGCCTAGCATTACCAGTTTTTCCATAGCTGCTTTAATCTGCATGACTCCACTGCTACCACATAGTAATTATTACAGTATCACTACAAAAATATTGTTTCTAAGATTCCATGTTATCGCTGCCAGGTCATGATGGAGACTTTATGTAGAAAAGGCAAGAGAAAGTTGTACCCACTTACACTAGATCAAAGAAAGAGAGAACTGCTATTGCTGCTGTTGTTTTTCTATTGTGCATCTGTTCTAAGTCCAAGCTCATGAATGTATTCAGTCATAACCAGAAACCCTAATATTGACCTAAAGAACAGTCACAGTTCCCATCTAGTGATGCTACTAGATCTGAATCGTGTCAGATATTCAAGACCTAACAGAGACACTAAGATAGGTGCTAAGGTGGCAAGCTCATGGTAGAGAGAAAGAAAATGAACTAGTTTGATGAGTGAGATTTGTAGGACAAGTCCTTGGAATACACTTGTCCAAGCCCCCATAAAACTGAAGCACCACTACTACTATTAGAATTTTTAAAAGATTACTTTTATCCTGCTTATATTATTTTTATAAATAACTCAAACATGGCAAACATATCTAATACTCCTTGCTTCTCCTATTTTCCCACAACAATAACCTGTGGGCTGTGAGATGATTATGAATCAATTCTCAGAGGACACCAAGCTCAAAAAACTATCCTATGGCTAAATAATGGGGCACAAATAAAAATATGCCTTATCTAGATGCACTCAGATATTATTTAATCCATCTCTCTGTGCCTGAAAAATCCTTGATATTGTCTATCTCTCTTATGCCTAAAAATATTTACCCATGTAGTAGGGCCATATTGCTATTATCCTTCACATATTCTTATCTTTCTCATCTTCTTATCTTTCCTACTATCTTCTCCTCTCGGTATCTTACGATTTATCACTTGTTTGTATCTTATGATTTATGATTGTGACTATGATTTATGACCTATGACTTATCGCTTTGTTGTTTGTGTACATTGAGAGCTTATGCACTGGAGACAAATTTCTTGTGTGTCCAATCACACTTTGCCAATAAAAAATATTTTATGCTTCTATTCTAGTAACTACATTTTTTTTGTTCTCCATAGGAAGCTGAAAACATGGTGGCATAAGCAAGATCTTTCTGAAGGCAATAAGGCAGGCCAAGACAACTTCATGAAGCAACTCTGGGAGAGCGATTATAAACTGCTGCCCTATGATGGGCTCTTTGCTGAATATCTGGAAATGGGTATGAGCCATCTGGGAAAATGGAAACTTAAGAATAGTTCTCTGAAAATTTCTAATACTGTGGCCTGATTATGGAAGCGGAATGAATATGTGTATTCTTGGAGAGATTGAAAATACAAGGATTAGAAGAACAGTGAGGAAAAAAGCCCTAGGATAGAGGGAGAAATTAGGGAGGGGAATATGAAAATATATTTCTGAAGTCTCATGAATTCCCCTAATCTTTATGCAGTAAGACTTGGAATTTATAACTCCAAAAAATGAAAAAGTGGTGTGAGAGACTGAAAAGCCCTGTTATAGGGGTGTCAAACTGTCAGGCCACGGGTCGGTTGCATCATGTGGAGGCCGCGCTCACCCCAGCAATGCTAAAAAAGTCGCTATTACATCACGTGTCACATGATGTAGCGAATTTGACATCCGTGCCCTATTAGTTTTTCCAATATTTTCAAGCAATAAATGTGAATATTAGAGGCAGTGTATAGAATTTCTTTGAGCTGAACACCTCTGTATTATAGGTTCACCAATCAGCTTAAATTATGTGAAATGAAAGGTCATTCATTTTTATCTAAATTAAAGTGGATGCATTTTAGTGAAAAAATAACAATTACTACATGGGGCTTCAGAAAGTGCATTTCAGTCCTGCTTCTGGCTGGAATCTCATCTTGGTCCCCTCCAAATTACTTCTTGATAAGGTTTCTTTCCTCAAACTCTAGAAATTAAAATGTTTTATTCCCTTTTAGTTCTGCAGTTTGGCTTCATTACTATCTTTGTTGCTGCCTGCCCTCTGGCCCCTCTTTTTGCTTTACTGAACAACTGGGCGGAAATTCGTTTGGATGCTCAGAAGTTTGTTTGTGAATATCGACGTCCAGTTGCAGAGCGGGCCCAAGGCATTGGCATCTGGTTTCATATCCTGGAGGTCATCACACACTTTGCGGTTATTAGCAATGTGAGTTATACTAGAATATATGGTAAGCAATCAATAGAAATTGGACAAGCATAGCAGCTACAGCCCTGAAATGCTGCAATTGGATTACACCGAACTTACAGTTCAAGCATGTTTTAATTGAGTTTACTTATGTTGTAGTTTCCTGTTCCCAAAGCAGATGAGGATTTAAGGTGAACTCAACATGATCCAATTCTTTGATGACAGAACTGGCTTACAATTCCAAATAAAGAGTTATTGAAATAGTCAACTGGTAAAGGAAAGGTGCTGCAGGTTACTGATAGAATGTATCATTATGGAATGGGTTGGTTGGTTGGTTGTTGGAGAAAGGTGGAGTTGAGTGAGCAGGTTTCCTGGTGAGAGGATGCTCTGAGAGGCAGAAACATCCTGAAGTGCTTCTTGGTGTCTCTTTCTACAGTCCCAAAATTCCTGTTGGATATTCTGAATGGAAATTCTAGTACTTGGTCCCAATATAGGAAGTGAGCACTAGGTTAGGCTATGTAGGAAGCAATGAACTAGATGCTCAATGATCTGGGGTAGAATGAGGCTGCTTGTGTTTCTATGACTGTTGCTGAAAGTAAGTGCATATTGTGCCAAGAGTAAGAAGCAAGAGTTCTGTGTGTCACTCACACAACACTTAAAAAAATGAACATGTTCTTCTTTTAGGCCTTCCTGATTGCCTTCACTTCTGACTTTCTTCCTCGACTCTATTACCAGTACACTCGTGCTAGCAATCTACAGGGCTACATTGACTTCACCCTGGCCTACGCCCCTAAGTCTTTTGACTTGACCAACAATGCCACATGCAGGTGGGATCTCCTACTCTTGTAGCTGTTGAGGGTAGCTGTTTAAAGATGATTACTGAGTGAATCTATTGGAACGTAATTGCTCGTTTAAAGTTCAAAGTAAGCTATCTAAAAATGTAATTCAGTGTCAGATTTTAATGTTTTTTGTCCTGCATGCATATTGCATATTGATTGACATATTTGTGTGTAAAGTAGTGGTACACACCAATTAAGGTTTACTCCATAGTTGCCAAACATAAGAAAATATCTAGTTCTACATTATGTATTTACTTAAAAAAAAACCAGATGTCTTAACTGCATTGCTGGAAATGCAGTTCTTTACATGACACTTTCTTTGCTCATAATCAAGTACAGGTAGTCCTTGCTTAACAACCTATCACTTAGCAGCCATTAAAAATTGCAACAGATCTCCCAAAAGCTATTTACAATCCTGTTTTGACGTTACAGCCACTCAAATGCCTCCACAGTCATGTGTCCTTATGACTGATTGCAGGGATAATGCAGACCCCTCCCCTTTCCTCTACACTAAGTCCCTGCAGGCCTTGGGCCTGCTCCCCACCTCAGCCCACCCCATCATCCATCACACACTTCTCTTTTGAAGATCTCTGGATCTCATGTTGAGGAAGGAGAGCAGGCCACTCATCCTTGGACCATATGGCTGCCTCCCGAAAGCAACCACATTTAGCATGTCCACAATTCCTTGTAGTTGCACCACAATGGTGGCCACTTCTGGGAGGTTACTACTTGGCCCAAGGACCACTCCTGTCTGTTTCCTTAACAAGGTCTGCACAGTGCTGAGGAAAGTTCTAGAACTCCAGAGATCTTCAAAAGGTAAGTGCATGACGGCAAACAGGAAATGGGGAGAAGGTTCAAGCTATGTGGCCTCTATGGGGAGGGAAACACTTGCAGGATCTAGTGTGTAGGGAAAGCAGTCCAAGGGATGTGGGGACCCCAAGAGGAAGGAAGTGGATCACAGGGTGTTTCAAGAGGTGGTGGAGGCCTTGGGAGGGCCAGGACAGGCAGGCCGGGCCTGCACTAGGCCTCCCAGATGCTATTGCATCCTTGAGGCACCCCAAACTCTAACGACCTGTAAATTCATTTAACTACATCAGGGAGAGCAAGAGGTGGGGATCATTAAGTGAGCCTGTCTCACTTAATGGCCGTCACCACGTGTAACCGTAATGGGCAGGCTGTTATTGCCATAGGTCAAGGACTACCTGTAAGCAGGAGACACTGCCTTATATTAATTCATAGAGTAGCAGACAGAATGTAGTGCACTAAATTTCACCTGGGCTAGTTCAACTAAAAAGAATTTGTGAACCTAGAAAGTGGCAGCAAGAGACATCAGAAATTAATCTGGAAAACTTGTGATTGCTAAGCTGATCACTGAATTGTTACTTAGCATGGATTTTGAAGCTCTTATCTCCACAGGTACCGAGCCTACAGAGAACAAAATGGCAGATATTCACTACCTTATTGGAACCTACTGGCAATCCGACTTGGCTTCATCATTGTATTTGAGGTACATTGCATTTCAGGATACTATTTTCCATAAACGTATTTCTTAGACATCTTATATTGGCCATTGCAAAATTTAGCACATTTAAAAATCCTATTTCTAGTATTTCTCCCTTGTGTTAGTACTACTATGTTAAAAATGAACCATCCTGCATAGTTTAGATTGCTTGAAGAAAAATTGTGCTGTTCTGAAACTAAAGAAAATTATTTGGCCATAAAATACATCAAAATTATGGTACAAGTTATGCTATTGGAAAGGAAATAAAATTTTGTCCTAGTGATAAAAGTATTATAGGTTCATCAATGCCAGAAATTCTGTAAATTTTTGGAAAGAAAATTGGTGATATGGAGAGAATGCACATTCCGGTATCATGTTTTCACATTAAAAAAGAACCATCATCAAAAATGGCCAAACCAAGAAGAAAGCAGGCAATCTAAAGCTCACAATTGTTTTCTAGGGAGACATCTGTCAATTTTCACATTCTCTGGCTTAATGGAAAATCATAAACTTTCTGCATAATATCATATCTAATTGGGGTCATCATAATTCAATATCCATAACGTTTCCATTTATATTCTGCCCAGCCTGCTGACCATTCACAATTCTTCCAACTTTCTTTTATCTCTTTCCTAGCATGTAGTTTTCTTCATTGCACATATGATTGATATGATGGTACCTGACATCCCAGAAGCAGTGGCAATAAAAGTAAAGCGAGAACAGTACCTTGCTAAACAAGCCTTGGCTGAGAATAAGGTAAATCTTCCATTATTAGGAAAATGAAGACATTTTCTTTGAAAAACAAGACACAAATTGCTTAAGACCATGGTACTTCTATGGGTAATTGTTTTCTATACAGGTAGTCCTTGACTTATGACTACAATTGAGCCCAAAATTTCTTAGGCTAAGTGAAACATTTGTTAAGTGAGTTTTGCCCCATTTTATGACTTTTCTTGCCACAGTTAAGTGAATCACTGCAGTTGTTAAATGAGTAACGTGGTTGTTAAGTGAATCTGGTTTCCCCATTGCCTTTGTCAGAAGGTTGCAAATGGTGATCACCCAGAACACTGCAACTGTCATAAATATGAGTCAGTTGCCAAGCATCTGAATTTTGATCATGGGACCATGGAGATGCCACAGTGGTCATAAGTGTGGAAAATGGTTATAAGTCACTTGTTTGATGCTGTTGTAACTTCGAACGGTCACTAAGTGAACTGTTGTAAGTCAAGGACTACCTGTACTGCATGTTCCAATTTATTTTAGGGAAAAATAATTTTTGTATTAAATTAGATAAAACTACAGGTATTGAATAGTAAAGTTGATCTTGAAGTAAACTTTGTATGCAAAATTAATTATCTCTTGGGTTCTTCCTTCTCCATTTCCCTTCCTTAGGTCGAGTTACCAAGAACACTTTAATAACATAAAATAAACCTGGAGGGTTAAAATGACTTATGTGAACCCTCACATTTCCATTGATGAAAACTTCCTACTATCTTTGTAACAATTTATACATTTTTGAACTGAGCTAAAGAAGCTTCTTAGAGAAGTGAAACGTCTTCAAAGAAAAACAAGGAAGTCCAATTGCCTCTTGAAAACCCAACCATGGCCTGGATCACTGAGAATCTCCATAGACAATATATACATTTCTTTACCATATTTACTGTCATGGTTTATTTTAATTACATTTTAAAAATTATATAGCAATCTGGAGATTTTGGTTTTACAGTCATATTCATGCTATTACTCTGCAATTTATCATTTTTATGTCTTTTAAAAACAGGTTGTTCCTAAACTTATATAGCAGTGATGGCAAACCTTTTAGAGACCGAGTGCCCAAAAACCGCCCCTGCCCTGCTCCACCCGTCCTGCCCATTCAGCCCCCACCCCCAGCCTGCTCCATCCCCACCCCGCCCACCTCCACGTCCCGCCAGGTGGCCCAGCAGCGCCATGGCGGCCATGTCCTCCACCCGCACCCTGCAGCATCATCTGTGCGCAATGGAGTGCGAGGGCGGAGTCTTGTCCCCGCTGCCCAGCTCCATGTGCTTGGCTGCGCTGCTCCGCATGGGCCGCACTCGCAGTCAACTCTCCTCTGGGGGGGCTGCTGGGGAGGAGGGGGCCACGGGGAGGCGGGGCTGGGGCAACAGCACGTGTACCTACAGAGAGGGCTCCGAGTGCCGCCTCTGGCACGTGTGCCATAGGTTCGCCACCACTGTTATATAGTTTAGGTTGTTTTTTGTCTTTCCTTATATTGGTCAAAGGCTAAAATATAGATTCACTAATAAAAATTAGGACTTCAGTTCCTTTTCATCGAGGTCCATTTTTCTTCCCTTTCTCAATAAAATAACCTTGCAGTCTATGAAAGAGTATTATTTTCTTCTCCCCTTCAGATTGCTCCTGACACAGGCCTTAATTACAATTTCACAGAAAATTGCCCCACAAAAATTAATAGACTCATAGGGCTGGAAGGGACTTTTGAGGTCTTCTAGTCCAACCCACTGCCCAAGGCAGGAGTCCTTATACCATCCTAGACAAATGATTGTACAATCTTTTCCTGAAAACCTCCAGCAATGGAGCACCACAGCTCCAGGAGGCAAGCTGTTCCAGAAATTAATCACTCTCCCTGTCAGGAAATTCCTTCTTATTTCCAGGATACTAACTATTCACACTAGCCATCAAACCACCAAACTGTTACATTATCTGATAGTTAATCCTTCATTCATTAGGTAGACTCACTATTTATACAATGTTGGTCCAAATATTTGCATACATTAAACAATCCAACATTCAACATCCCTTTTGGTGAGAGCTTTTTTGCATTTTCTGGAATGGCAGAAATATTAAGGAATAATTTGCCTGTGATGAGCCTTGTTAAAATATTTTATCCAATAACATCCACCTTCCCACAACCAGATGGGTATCAATTTTTGGAACAGAAATTGCAAAGCCTGGCACATCCATTTACATGCCTGTGCTAAGGCATAAATAACCTTAGCGTACTTTCTACATTTGCCTTTACTGAATTACCAGAGCCCCTGAGAGAGATGGGTGGTCTACAGCATGAAATACAAACAAATCAATAAATGTCTTAAGATACCTTATATTGTATTATTGCTCATATATTTCTCAATTACTAAGAATCTACAGTACAAAACTAAAGGACGCAATCAAATTAGCTCCATCACTACTTTTCAGACTACAGCATTTAGTCATGATGTCAAGTTAATAATTTTTTGCTATTTTTTTAAAAATTATATATTTGTATTTTTTGAAGCTAATTTGTTATATTTCCTGCATTTTAACAGTTTCCAACATGGAGAATTAATCATAATTTGCTCTCAGTGAGGCCCAACCAAAAAAACAATTACGATAACATTATTTTAAATGTTTACAGATCAAGGCTTCAACCTTTGCCTGTTTTTTCCCGTTCAAACTTTTGATTACGAACAGTTTTGTTTTCCAAAACTAAATTACTATTTAGCCTGAAAAATAATATTGGAGAAGTCAATTTTGGCGATATTTGTCACCATAAACTAAATATGGGAAAAGGGAACACTACATCTGCTTAAACTGCAAATTCTAAGCCTTTGTATAACTCACATGCAGTTATATTTAGGCACAACTGAACAAGCAATTTTAAATGTGACAAACTAAGAAAATAATGGCTAAACCGAGATTGGATCCTGTCAGATATGCATGTCACTGTATAAAACAGAATTTGAATAATGACTTAGTTTTGTGTGTATTACAATGGTCATGTATATTTCTTTGATAACCTCCCTCAGCTACATTCTCTTTGGTGGAAAAATGTAGTAGATATTTCTTTTTCTTTTTGGGACAGGCTCTCATTGAAGTGATAGATGTTGTCAATCCAACCCAGCCTGGGGAGAAGGTATCAAAATAAACATCTGAAGATCTGGAAGGATTTGGCTGAGATCAGATAATCAAGCTTCTACACAAGAGTAACCTTCATAGAGGAAGTACCATGTAAGCTGACACAGTATGGACATGGAGCTGTTAATTATGTAACATATTGCAGGTGTAGAATGTGCCTCACATCTTTAAACCCTCAGAAAGTTCATCCATATTTACCAAAGTAGTGATTTCATGTTTCTTGGAGAAAAACAGTACAGAGAAAATTACAAGACATACACAAGAATTTTCAATCTGTTTCTCTCCTACCACAGAAGTGACTTGTAAATGTAGTGAAATTCAACAAGCTGTTATTTATGGTAGTATAGGAATCTCTGGGTTTAGAGGCAATCATTTTCCAAATAGTAGGAATCTGCAACACTAGAATAGTTCATACTGGTTTGCTTTTTTGAAGCATATGCTAAAGTCATATGCTAAAGATTACTGCCATATATAAAGTCAACTATAAAAAGGAAACTTGCTTTCAGCTATCCAAAAGGGGTTTTTGCCTACAAAAGCAACATGGGATAGTTATCATCTTCTTCACATCCAAGACTCTTTCAGCTGGAATATGTTTCAACAATATGTATGTACCATGAACCTGTAATCTTTATCATGCTTAAATCAATGTCTGCTGGCAAAAATTGAATAAGCAGATGAAATAGGTATAAATGTGCTTATTACTGTTTGGAACAATATAGAGAAGCAAGGGTATATATTTTATTAACAGGATAGATAGGAATTGTAATTTGGAGCGACTTTTTTAAAATAAAAAAACACACAAAGCTGTTTCAGGTTTTATTTTTTAGAATTTATAAAATTCCAGTGTCATCCATACTCATGAGCCTTTATACACATTTGCATATAATCTCCAAATTCCAAAGTTAAGGCCAAGGGATCATTGCCATGGAAACGTAATATGGAAGACATTAAGAGGACATGGAGCACATCTCCACAGATCAACTGCTGCACACTACATGGGACAGAAGAGTGAAGTATTTTCAACAATTTGAACAGACGGCAACATTAGAGCCATGCTCAATGGCAGTTAAGCCCAAAACACATGTGCAAGTGATGTGTGACATTCAAACACCAGGTCCCACTGGCAAGGCATTAATACTTCTACCCTGTTTTAGACTCCTGCTCAGATAGTGATAGGGCTTCTCCTGTCCCAAGTGGAACCATCCTACAGAAACAATTTCTCCTTCTTTCACTTAGGTTTATTTAAACTGAGAGGGCTTTTTTTTTCTTTTCTACTGGACTAAAAAGCTAGATGCTTTATAAACCATTTCTCAGCATATATTCTGGGACACAAAGGACCTTGGGGGAAAGATACAAATGGCTCAGAAAAGCTCTTCAGAAGAGAGCAGGAAAGACAGAGAGCAAAGTTGGCAACAGACCCAGCGCTGCCGCCAGCACCTTCAGCAGAAAAGAGAATTGTGGCTAGAAGAGCAACTTTAAAATACAAGCAGCCTTGTATCAGTTTATGGTAGCAGCTAGAGTGCAGCAACTACTGGTGTCAAGACAACAGGACAAACACTTGTTGCCAACTACAGAAGGCTTTTGCTGAATATAGGTCTAATCTCCCACTCCTACCGCTGGCCATCTTTAAGAATGAACTGCAATCAAATTCTTCAATTTAAGTGAAAGCCACTCCTCACTTGCCTCCCTCCAAGGCTTAATCTCTGTTGCAAGACGAGAGGCCAAATTATGTGGCAACAGTTAAGATCATCTTTGCCAGCGGAGAAACTAACTGTCACATACATAGCTAAAGCCACACACATATATTCCTCTTCTCCTAGAGGAACAATAATCATGATATCAGGAAGCAAGAGGAGCTATCTGAAGAAGCAGGCCACTGTCATACTGGCTTGAGGTAGAAAGAAGGCAATAGTAAAAAGCAAAAGATACACCTTAACCCTGGTACTTAAATGCCACCACTATCAAACTAGGGGGAAAAGGGCAATGCACTCTTAACACTGCACTAGTCACCCAACATCCTTTGTGTCATGCTAACATGGCACTTTTGGTTGAACCAAGTTTTCTTAGATCCAATAATACTGTCAGTTTTCCGGCTCTGTTTAGCCATACTACAGTTGGGAAGGAAGGACAATGCAAAAAAGTGAAGGGGGAAAAAACTGATGATGAGTTGCAATTCAGTACTCACCCCAGTGAAAGAAGAATGTTTGTGCACTTAGTGCTGCAAATTAGCACGACAAGGACTGTGACCCTGTTAGTGCTTTCTGGTGTCTCAAACTCCAGGACAAACCATTGCTCTCTCAGGTAAGATTCATTATCTTACCAACAGTGGAATTAGATGGACAATTGGGAGGGGGGTGGGGAGGAGAGGCTAGCAGTGAAAAGGAAATACTAATTGCACACTACAAAGGTAAGGCCTTGGAAAAACGGCAGGAAGGGGAAGAGCAAATATTTTGGCTTTCAGAAAGTCAAGGAAATGTGTTTCCTGAGGTTGAGAGACAGGAAGTATATTCCTAGATGCAGTAAGGTGATCTCCTAATGGGGGTTTAGAGTGCTTTATATAATGTGCTTGGGAGGCTTGATACAACACAATGACCCACATGATAGGCTGAAATTTGAAAGAAAAACTGAATATATTTTTGGTTGGAATTAATATGGAAAGTTTTGTTCCAGATCAAGGGGAAGAAAAAATGGCAAACAGAAGCATAGCGAGGCCTGAGTATAAGGATAACAGAGGGAGTAAGCACTCTAGTTTCATTAAGAGACCCCTCATTAACAATCTTCACTAGATCCAGCCAGCAGGGCAGAATTCAGGAAATAATTTTTTTTTTTGTGGCAAATGGCTGGATAAGATTGCTACTTTCATGTTATTATCGCTTGGGACCCCATGGCAGAGTCTTGGGAGCCACCTGAGCTCCAAAACTTGGAAAATCTTCAGAACTGCTCATATCCGGGGCCTGCGGGGAAATAAAAAGGAAGGACATAATTTGTACAGATACTAATGTTTGATTAATAACCATAAGAGTAATTTCACTTTTGCAAAAATCAAACCACTGAATTACTGAAAAGACGTCAGTAATTCAGATACTATATTACTGTATAGACCAGGGGTAGGCAACCTCGGCTCTTTTATGACTCATGGACTTCAACTCCCAGAATTCCTGAGTCAGCATAGCTGACTCAGGAATTCTGGGAGTTGAAGTCCATGAGTCATAAAAGAGCCGAGGTTGCCTACCCCTGGTATAGACAATGCAGATATTGCAAAAGTAATTCCAACTAATAAAAACTTAAAAGCAACAAATACTCATTGGACTCAAAATTATATTCCGCAGTCTGCATCATACCCATACTACAAAGAGTCAAAAAATGAATCACGCTTCACAATTTTCTACAATTTACTACTGAGACTGTAATATTCCAAATGCTCTTGTGTGCAGGACAGAAGAAAAAAAAATATGCAGGTCACGTACAGCAATAGCTGAAGAAATATAGCTTATTCTCTCCCTATCAGTGCAAAATCAATGTAAAATGGAATTAGTGGGCTACTGAAAAAGAGTTTATATTCTCCAAAATTGGAATGATTTTTTTCAGGTGTCAGATATAAATGTCATGCCCACAGACCATTGTGTTTTTATGTTCAACCCATACAGGTCTTAAGTCCCCACTATAAATGTGGGTGTATTAAACCAACATTTATAACATCTTTATTAGTCATTTACTAATATTTTTATACTAGTCTATATACTATGCTAATACTTAAAGTATTTTAAAGTAATTTCAGATATGCTAATACTTTATACAAGAGGTTATGAGAGTCAAAATGAAAATAAATGAATGTTTTTGGAAAGAATAAAAGTAAATAAAATCCAGACTACTAAAAATATAACAAGAAAAATACTAAAAATCTGAATACTCAAAAGCAAGAAGTTTTAAGAACAGATTGGACAACCATTTGTCTGAAATGGTATAGGACAGTGATGGTGAACCTTTTAGAGACCGAGTGCTCAAACTGCAACCCAAAATCCACTAATGTATCGTCGGGTGCCGGGTGGACGTAGCCCATTGGATGGGCGTGGCCCATTGGGTGGGCATGGCTGCGGTGGTAACAGCAGACTGGGTGGGACTAAAAAGTTCAATCAATCAATTCCAACTTTGCGAGATCTTTTTTCTTCCCATGAGAAGCTGAAATTGATGATTGAACTTTTTTTTTTTTTTTTTGCACATGGCGGCGGAGGCCTAAAGCGAAAAGGTTTTATAAAACCCAGCTGAAGGCCTAGGACTGGGGCGACGGCGCACGTGCCCACAGAGAGGGCTCTGCGTGCCACCTGTGGCACGCATGCCATAGGTTTGCCACCACAGGTATAGAATTTCTTGCCTGAGCAGGGGGTTGGACTAGAAGACCTCCAAGGTCCCTTCCAACTCTGCTATTGTGTTAAATTAACAACAGACATAGTGGAAGAGGATTCTCTCTCACCATCTCACCTTGCCTCATAGAGGCTGGAATCTAAATGAAAGACTCAGGTGAGTCCCAATGTCTTCTTCAGCCCAAGAAAAGTTCACTACATAAACAGCTCCTACCTTCTCAGCATTGCCTGCTGTCCATGGGGCATCTCTAACCACAAATCCCTTTGATGCACCCTTAGCTTCTTCATGACCAGGTGGCTTCATGTAGACTTGCATTGCCTCATTATCTACTACATCAGACAGCTGCAATGCCAAACAAATACACAGCTCAGTTAGCAGAATATATACACAAACACAAGAGAGTGATGTTGTACAGAATGATTCTCCTTTATAATATTTTGAATCCATGTAATTAAATAATACACATACATATTCCTCCTCCAGATTCAGAATATGATCAATGGCTTCCTCCACATTGTCAGGGAGTCCAATCACAGTCACACAGTTGGGATCAGCAGCTCCACTTTGAGGAAAACGTATATCCACCTGGAGAGACAAAAATTATCTCAGATATGGTACCCTGATATATTTGCCTCTCTTGCCCATTTCCCTTGAAGTTTTATACCCCAAAATGATTATGTGACTAATATGGTTACAGAATGCAAGGAGCAATTGAAATTGTTTGGTTTCTCAAAGAAAGAACATTTAAATCAACAAATAATGCCATATTTATAGGGAATCTGTATGCATCATTAGAACCATGTCTGCTGTGCTTTGAATAGTATTCAGACCACATTCAGTGTTATTCTGGAAACTAAGGATGGAAAGATGCAACACAGAAGTTCCTTGTACACCACCAGGGTCAGTATATGATCTTGCTTTTCTTTGTTCAATCAATTTGTTTCTGTTTGATTCTCATTCATCTGCTGAAGCAAAAAATCCAAACAACTTAGCTATTGTTATTGATAAACTGATTTCTAGTCATTTACCAGATGGCACAATGTTTTAATCACCTTGAATTCATCCATAATTTTGCGGATAGCTTTCCCACGTGCTCCAATAATGCGGGCATGAACACGATGGTCTAGGGTGATGTCTTCAGATACCATCTGCTCCAGTTCACCAACAATCTTCATGATGGCATCTCGTGCAGATTCAGTATTTTTCTCATAGCCTGTTATGATAATCTGATCCTGGGCCTAAGGGAGGAAATGTTGATCATTAATGCTAGGCTCTTCAAGTTGGTAGCAAATAATACAAGCAAAATGTCTGAAAAGTCCTGCTGTGGAGACAACAATGGGAACAGACTAGGTAACACAACTATATGCTAAACAAGACAAAACAATTTTTTTTGATAGGTTCTCATCCTTTCTTCCATACCCAGTTCTTCACCTGAGATTCATCAT